TTCCCTTGATGTATATGACACAATTGAATTTAGCAAACAGAAATCCTTTCGCATAGTTCTGTCCAGTTTTTACATTTGATTGTCTACTCTTTGTACCAAGCTGGTTGAAAGGGCCAAAGACACTCCTATTTCCATCCTTTTTTATTCTTTTGTTCTTTTGTTGGTTTTTTTTTTCTGTGTGTTTGTTTTCTCTTGACCGCCTTTAAAAAAACAACAACAAAAAAACCCACAAAAACTACCTTTGTAATATCCTGAATTTTTTTAAGAAAACATAGAAATTACCCTGTTTAGGATGATGACAGTAGAAGCAGGAAACATGCCTTTTTAATACTCTTAGGAGCTTAGGATCATTTGGTACTTAACTCGGAATAGTCTGGCACTAGAAGCAGGCGGCTTAGGATTGTCATTGGTTTGCTTACTAATATGCCCTCTCCCCGTGGACTTCAGAATGTAGAAGAAGGAAGCCCAGCCTGCCAGGCGGGCCTGAAGGCCGGGGACCTGATCACACACATCAATGGAGAGCCAGTGCACGGACTCGTCCACACAGAAGTGATAGAGCTCTTGCTGAAGGTACTGTCTTTATGTCACGACCATGCAGACGGGGCAGAGCCAGAAGGAACTGGTACCAAGAATTACATGCCTGGGTCCCAGGGTCCTTCTTCAGCGCACGCCACACATGCAGGCTCATTACTGAGGACTTACTCAGTAGTCTCGGGTCTATTGTCAAAGACAAAGATAGGAATTCTCTGAGTTTATATCATGAATATCTGCATAATCACCTCCTAATTTAATTTTGCCTCTTATCCTAAATTATAAAGAAAAATTTGTTTTATGTACTTCACATAGAAAAATCTGGTTGGAAGTCAAGAACAGGTGATTTTGCTCAGGAACATTCAAGAGGTTTTATTCTAGTGGAGTAAGACAGAGTGGTGTAAAGCTATGGGGTCTGATCTGAACGTTGAGCCTGAGAGCTGGGTTTCCTCGGGAAGACAGAATTGTGAATGGAAACATGCCTACTACCAATTGTATACATCGGTGGTAATGGGAGAATGGGTTCTGGCAACCAGTGGCCCTTTCCCTCCGTGCAAATGACTTTGCATAGAGATCACTTTCTACTTAAAGCTGAATAAAGCCCAGGGAGGGGGAAGATCACGGGACGCATGAAAGGAGAGGAGAGTGACTATTACGCAGATCCCCTTCCTTTTTCTGAGTTCTTTGCTTTGCCACCTGCTGACACCAGAATATAAAGTTTTAGCTCCAAACATAGATTTGATTAAAACAAATAAAGATGAATTTGAGATTGATGTTACATTTTGTTCAGAAACAAAGGCTAATTTTCCTGCAATTAGAGTGCAGTGTCTCTAGTTGTAGGATTGCTTTACAGTTCAACAGATTTTCAGATGACCTCCTCCTTGCTCCCTGAGCACCGTAAGGGGCTGCCAGGCACCTGGTGTGAGCCTGCGCTGCAGCTCACCTGCGGCCTATGGAGAGGAAGCTTGTGCACATACCTGCCATTTAGATAACATGCACTCAGACCATTCCTAGAGCACCGGCCCTGAGCAGGTACCATAAAAAAGTAGCAGCACAGGAATTAAGGTCTAATTCTTGCCCTCAAGGAGTATGGAAGATATGTAAATGGATAAAATTCAACTAAACCATTCAGGGCTATAGCAGAGGGAGGAATCTCATACTTTTGGAAAAAACATTCTGTGAGTGGAAGAGGCATCATAGGGAAATGACGTTTAACTGGAACTTGAAAGAAAATGAGGAACTTGGGAGGTATGACAGGGAAGTGGGTGTGGAAAGCCTTTCAGAATAAGTTCAGTTCAGTGACCTTTTTCCTCCTTCTTTGTCATTCCCTGAGTCTGGCCCAGGTACCGAGAGTAGAATAGCATGTATGTTCAAGGGTCCATTGTGAAGTAGCAGACTGTAGAGAAGTTATTGCCATTGACTGATGCACAGCATTAATGAGATATTCGTCTTGGGCTCAGGTGTCCCATGGGCTGGGGGCTAGATTCGTTGTCATCCATGCTCACAGGGCGTCCTCTAAGTCTAGACAGCTTTCTCACCTACACCAGGGGACAGGGCTGACTATGAGGAGAGCATTGCAGAGCCCATTGGCAGTGTTAGATATCATCTGTGGGCATGTTGAGCACACAGCAGACCGGACAGCAGCCTGTAGGAGAGATGCTGAGACATAATTGATTATTTTCATCATCTATTTGATAAAGTATTCTAACAGGATTCTGTGTCTAAAAACCTCTCTTTATGCTTCGTTGAAACTTGGATGTCCATTTCTCTGGCAAGGTGTCTTGGCAGAATCACACGATTCCATCTATATCATCTGGTTACGGAGTGCTTCCATTCCTGCACCTAGTCAGTGTGTTCTCTAAAGCTGCCTGCTGCCTGCATAGACATGCTGGAGTGGCGAGCCATTGGCACCCTTTGGAGCCACACGCGCTGTCACAGATCCAAGCAGAGGATCCTGCCTCTTGTTCATAAAGGAAGCACTCAAGAGGAGTAGCCAGTGTAACGAAACAAAGAGGATATGAGGGATTTAATTATCTTCCCAGTGAACTGTGTAATCATGCAGCTTTCTTCCAAATTTACCCAGCAGTCTCCGACAGCGTGCAAAGTGTCTAGTGTCAACACTGGGCTCCTCCGTGCCATCGCTGGTGGGGCGTCGGTGTGAGAGCTGTGTTTCAGCATTCTTGGATGCTGCTTACGTGGGGTTTTATACTCACAGACTACTTTACAAAAGCTCATGCACCCTTAGCAAAAGGAGGAAGAGCCATCACCCAGGGCTGCATGTGTGTATTTAGAAACACACAACTTATGTATCGTTCCGAATGTGAGCATGGTTAGTGTATTCCATGTTTGTTTCATGACCTCACTGTAGTGGCCAGTGGAGGCCGTATTAACCCAGTCTTATCTCCTGCTCACGTGATAACCTGCCTGGCTGAGCCTCTCTAATCCAGGAAACTCTCTTCTCAACCAGGCTGCCTTCTTAGGATAGCGCTAGTTTAAATCCCCAATGCCTAAGACAAGCCCTATAAAGCACAATTTTCATCTGCATGAACTCTGGGGAACCTCTGGATACTAAAGTGGGGACCATCAAATAGCCTCATTATTACCACCCTCACATAACTGCTGAGCCCCGAAATGTGCAGAGCATTGTGCTAAGGCCTGCAAGGGTCCTCCAACAAATGACACGCAAGCGTAATAGGAAATAGTGCTTTAGGTTTCTAGGCTCAGGGAATCCTCACACCCTGGGAGGTAGGCACTTTGAATATAAATGCTCCCTGTTACAGGTGAAGAGATACAGCAGAGAGGTGTTAGCCAAGCAGCCCAAGCTTGTCTGCCAGGAAGGAGCAGAAGAGGATCTGCACCCGGCACTGCAGGCCTGAGCACCGTCCCAGAGTGCTCCTCCATTACGTTTTCCGATTGCCAGGAACTTAGCGTCCGATGTTCCCAGGGGAGACAGTGGCAATTCCAGGCGACAGTCCAAGTGTTAAACATAAGCAACAGACTGTACCTATGGTCCGAGCTCTGAAGGAGTGATGGCCTTCCTCCAGGTGGACAGGTGTGAGGAGTTAGGGGTCATTGTGAGGGGCTGTGAAGGCTGGTGTTTAGTATGTGGGAAGGGGAGGCAATACAAAGATAGGGCATTAAATCACAAGGAGATTACATCACAGGAGAGCTCAAGTGCTAGAGATGCATGAGTACACCAGTGTGGCTGGAGCCTGGGTTCAGAAAGGGGATGCAGTGGGCAGCTGGCTGGGGCCAGGTTGTGGAGGGTGCGGATCAGGGCAAGGACACGGCTGTGCAGGAAGATGCTCTTCCCCATGTGCACTTTGCAAAGAAATAAATGGGAGAGCAGTCTAGCTCAAGGTACCCAAGGCCAACAGCTAACTAATGTGGAGCCAGATGGAGAGAAGAGATTGGGTAGATGACTTCTGCTCTGTGTTCAGTTCCATCAGCTGAAATAATTTCCCTCCCACTGTGCCCTAATCACACAAATGGTTAGAAGTAAAAGAGAACTAATTGAACATTTAACAGTCTGCTGGCCCCGTTTTTGTTATTTTTAAACAAGTACCCCAGAATTTGTCTGATGAGAGGTTGCTCATTCGCCAACAGAACGAACGTCCAGTCCTGAGGATGAACTGACCCCGTTAGCTACACTGTGCCGAGTTTAGGCAGCACTCGCTATAGCTGATGTATCCACTAGGTGGCAGGCTTCCTACTTGTCACCTATTCTCTGTGAAGCTATCGTCTAGTCATTTATCATTTCCACAATCATTAATGTTTCTAACTAGCTATTGGTATTCTGCATCTTTGTATCTGGGGACATTGTCTCTTATTGTATTTCCATAAGTCGGGTGAATTGTCCTCTGGAATAGCCACATGTAGAAACAAGAAAGAAAACTGGGTTTGGCTTTCGTAGGCAAAGGGGACATTTGTATAGTCTAGTGATGTGTTCTGGTTTAGCATTCCTGGTTATAACTGGTATTTATTTTCTAAAGTGTTTTGATATGTCTATATCTCCTTAATTTCTTCTTGACAGTCTGATTCTATGATTGTTCAGGGCCTGTTCCATCACCATCACTTTTTCTCAAGTACAAGCCGTGCACTCTGCTGGGAACACGACAGATGGGAGGGCCAGGGCCTGCTCTGCCCATAAGGAGCGGGCAGTGGAGATGAGGGTCAGGACAGCCAGCTCTGGGCTCTTGCACTGGCGCTGTGGCCCTGGGAAGGACGAATGTCTGTGAATCCGCCTTCCTTTCCTAGAATGCAAGGAAGGGTAACAATCTCTTCGCACCGCATAGGGTTGTAAAAAACTAACCCTCGTGGCCTGGTAAAAGAACACATGTGAAAAATACTTCAATATCCATAACGCGCTTTTAAAATACCAGGTGGGATTGTTATCTTCTTCTAAAGACATAGAAGTCGATGTTAAATATGATAGAAAAGTATAGACTGGATTCGGTAGCCCATAAGACAGAACACCCCAGTGATCATTATGACTCTGTGTGTCCACTCTGTGTGAGTGTGGAGAAAGATCGAAAGCACTGCAATGAAAGATAAGCTCCAAATGCCACATTTTTGCCCTTATCCTTCACCTGAGGCATAGGAAAAAACAAAATTTTAGTATGCTTTCACTCAGTTTGTGAAGAGAAGGAATACCCCATCCCAAACAACCTTTACTGGTAGACCTTTCATATTTACAAGAATTTTCTAATTAAATATAAATAGAATGCCAGTCTCTACTATCAGATAAAGGTTTATTTTTAAAGTTTTGTCATTTTGCATATAGAATATATAATTTATTCTCTCATAATGAAAAATAATTTTTTCTCTTTCAATTTCAAATCCACTTCCATAAAACATTTTTATAATTATGGCATTAGGTATGGGACTATATATTAACTATATAAAGAACTCTAAAATCAATAACAAAATACGAAGACTTTCAGATACTAAATTAGATGTAAGATGTGAACAAAACATTTCCTGAAGAAACACAGATGACCAAAATCAGTGACACTACATTCAGCCTGTTAATTGTCAAGGAATGAAGATTAAAACTTGACATAACTTTTTCCTATAAAATTGGTAATTTGCTTAATGTCAATATTCAGTTCTGACAGGCCTGTGGTAAGATAGGTACCCATGTGCTGCTGGCAAGAGTGTGAACTGACATAAACCCTCTGGGAAACAGTGTACCAGTCTGTATGGGGGTCTTTAAGAAGTTCGGATAGGCCGCGTGATTCAGTGCCTGGAGTCTAATTGCCCAGTTTAAGGAAAATGTCAGAGGTTAGGACAGTGATATGTAGACAAGGACATTTATTTCAACTCTTATATAAATTGAAAAGTAGAAAGCAGTAGCAGTAGCGAGATAGTTAAATTTTGATCCACCCATCTCACAGAATATTATAGTATAGCCAATTAAAATGCATTCTTAAAGAATATTCAGTGAAGAAGGCAAAGTGTTTCAAAGTTTTATAATGTGAAATGAGAAGAACAACAACATAAAACTAGATGTTAGAATAATTTAAGATTTGAATTGTTTACGAAGCCCCTGCCCAGGACTGCGTGAAAGCGCACGAGGCCCACGGGATGACCTCACCACACGTGCCTGGGTGGAGAGAGGCTGCGGCGTGCTCACTGGCATAAACTTTCCAGCTCGGCAGGGTTTATGGTGATAGAAAAGGAACCTTTTAAAATAATGAAAAAATAAGTCTCTTTCAGTTTTGTTACTCTTTGATTTCTAGGTCAAAGGAAAAACACAATCATGAGAAAAAAGAAAAGTAAATCAACCACGGAGACAGCTCTGGGCACATTACTTATGCTTCATGCATATGGGTGACGCTACCTGTTATTTAGAGAGCCTTTCCGGAGGTCACCGTGAGGCTGAGGGCTTCACCGACTCTGTCCTTCCCGTGGTCCTCAGAGGAGCCCTGGAGAAGGTGTGATTCAGCTGTGAGGTAGCACAGGAAGTGGAGACGAGGGAGGAGGAGCAGCCGGCTCAGGTCCCAGAGCTCGGATCTGAACTCAGATCAGAGCCCACCCTCTGAAAGAAACCTTCCATTGTGTCTCCACCCAGTTTTCATTCTCCAGGACTTCATAGTTTAAAGGATTATTTAGAAATGGAGGTCCTTTTGTGTGTATGTCCTTATGTATCTTTGTGTTGGAGCCTCCTATCTCTGTTCTCATCTTGTTTTATTACAGCATTTCCCTTTAATACCATCTCTCTTTTTTTTTTTTTCATAGAGTGGGAATAAGGTGTCAATCACTACGACCCCATTTGAAAACACATCAATCAAAACGGGACCAGCCAGGAGAAACAGCTATAAGAGCCGGATGGTGAGGCGGAGCAAGAAATCTAAGAAGAAAGAGAGTCTAGAACGGTTAGTTCAAGCAGTGTTATTCTTTGGGAGTTCAGCGGATACCCATGTGGGAGGAGAGTTACTCCCTACCTAATTTAAATGCTATAGATGAGCGATTTTTATGCTGTGGTTCACATATAGTTATACACAGAAGTTCATATTCGTAATAGCATTATTTTTCATCGTGGAAAGGTTTATGTAGCTATGTTGTAAACCTCACCGTTGTGATTCAGGTTGCTTTATCTCGCGTGTTAGAGCTGTGAAAAGCTCTTGGGTGTTTCCTAAGCCTCTAGACTTCATTCCATGTGAGTTGGATTTGAGGAACTGGACCCTCAAGCAGTTCTTAACATTAAATCTACATTTAATAATGTCCTTTGCACTATCGAAAAACGGCTGGTATTTTTTAAATGCCAGGTATTCGGAAATAACTGCATCTTAAGAGCATCCAAATAAGCCTAGAAATAAAAGGGCTTTGTCTTACTGACTGGAAGTCTGGCCGGGCTACCGTGGGCTGTCTGGGAGGCATCGTGGGTACCTCTCTGTGCTGCGTGCAAGATGCGGCAGACGTCCCTGGCGCGGCGTTTCTTGCCAGGCAGCTGTCGGGATGTGCTCCCTGCAGGATGCTGCAGCAGCTCTCCCTTCCCCTCTTGAATCTGATGTGTCTGATCATAGTCAGAGGGTTTTTTGTGAGAGAAATGTAGGAGGAAAAGGCAGATGTAAAAGGGATGCTCATCAACTCCTGGAAAGACAAAGCTGTACAAGAAAGGAAATAGAATTAAGCTTCCCATGGCCCAGCTGTGAACAATACTTACAACAAAGAAAACACCAGCCTTTTTTTAAACCCCCAAAAAATTTTTTTATCAAGAGGAATAAAAAGGGGGAAGTGTATTTGGTCAGAAGGTGGAAGGGTGTTGCAGAAGAGGTTAGTTCTCATCTTCTGTGGTAGGACAGCAGCAGATACTTTCTGAGACAGAAAAACTAAAAAGTAATGTAGGCTCACTGCTTAGCAATGTGCAGACTGATGAGAGGGGGCGAAGACACACTCCTTGTCTCTGGAGAGGGGGCAAAAGAAGGCCGAGGATGAGGGTGGTGATTTTTCATCTAAGCTTATAAAATGGTTTGGCTTTTTAACCCACGTGCCCTCATTACTTTTATTAAAATTACACATGCATACAGCACACCACACACATTCTGAGATGCTCCCTTTTTTATGTGTGCCTTCTATTTCGTTTGTGCTGTAAGTCAGATAGAGCACGCTGTTCCCAAGGGTAGCAGTGTTTGCCCTTCTGGCTCACGCTCCGCGGGGTGGGTCGGGCTTGCGGGAGGGTGAAGGAGGCCTGCGCAGCCGCCTGCACCTCCGAGCCGCGGGAGGCTGTCCCTTCTGCTCCAGGCTGTGCTTGTTGAGCACTGAGTACACATGTGCTTCTGCTGCAGCGAGGCGGCTGCTACCCTGCTGATAGGATCAGCTTCAGTTCACCTTTCCCGCGTGTCCATGGAAATGTGCAGCCTGCGCTGTCATTAGGCATCGTCAGGCGCCCACAGCGTGATAAGCCCAGCAAACAGCCCCTCACAGATACAGCCTCTGCCCGGTGTGTCACCGCTAAAGAATCCTACATCCGGGATGGTTTTTCCTCCAGAGGTTCCCCGGGTATTATCTCGTAGTGAAGGTGTATCAGCATCTGGGGGCACATACTCAGAAGCCTTCAGGCAAACAGCACCCTCCTCGTAAACCTGACAGTAAATAAACGAATATATACTTAATGTATTTCCCCAGCTCGTCTTAAAGGGTTTGGAATTCAGAGAGCTCCCCTAGTGTGCTATCTTCCTTTCTAAGTCACCCAAACATTTTAAATAGAACAGTGGGATCCTACTCTTTAATAGGATCTGCCATCATATCACGCCTCCGGCACAGAGGCGTGACTGGAACGCAGGAACTGTGCGGAGGCAGGAGCGGCTCTGGACAGGGAATCTGATCCGTTTTCTCTTGTTTTCACTCTAGGAGGAGATCCCTTTTCAAAAAACTAGCTAAGCAGCCTTCTCCTCTACTCCACACCAGCCGAAGTTTTTCCTGCTTGAACCGATCGCTGTCGTCGGGGGAGAGCCTCCCGGGGTCCCCCACTCACAGCCTGTCTCCCCGATCTCCCACGCCCAGCTACCGCTCCACCCCCGACTTCCCATCCGGTGAGTGAGTCTCCTGGCCAGGACAGTGAGGGGGAGTTGAGAGGAGGTCAAAGTCACCGTCTTAAATCCCGAAACCCCTGAGGATTATTCCTGCCTGGAGGTCTTTAGATAGGGCTCTTCGGACCATTAAAATAAGACAGGAAGTATTGGGTTAAAACTTAGTGTAGGGAGGTTTATCCAAAAAGCGTTCATTCATTAGAGTTGGATGCTGACAGCTTGCTGACCTTGGCCTGACCTCTGCCTGAAGCAGTTTGGGCTGGAGGGTGCGGAGGGGAGGGAAGGTGGCCCTTGCTCACAGCATTCTGTTTTCTACCCCCAGGCACTAACTCCTCACAGAGCAGCTCCCCAAGTTCTAGTGCCCCCAACTCCCCAGCGGGGTCAGGACACATCCGGCCCAGCACGCTCCACGGTCTGGCCCCCAAACTCAGCGGACAGCGCTACCGGTCGGGAAGGCGTAAGTCCGCTGGCAACATCCCGCTCTCCCCGCTGGCCCGGACCCCGTCTCCGACGCCACAGCCCACCTCCCCGCAGCGGTCCCCGTCCCCTCTGCTGGGACCCCCCCTGGGCAATGCCAAGATCGTGCAAGCCTTTCCCAGCAAAATGCATTCCCCTCCCACCATCGTCAGACACATCGTGAGGCCCAAGAGCGCCGAGCCGCCGCGGTCCCCGCTGCTCAAGCGCGTGCAGTCCGAGGAGAAGCTCTCCCCCGCCTATGGCAGCGACAAGAAGCACCTGTGCTCCCGCAAGCACAGCCTGGAGGTGACCCAGGAGGAGGTGCAGCGGGAGCCCTCCCAGCGGGAAGCGACCCTGCAGAGCCTGGAGGAGACCGCGTGCGACACGCCCGCCCTCAGCAGGGCCAGGCCGGTGGAGCAGGGCTGCCTGAAGCGCCCCGCCTCCCGGAAGCTGGGCCGGCAGGAGTCCGTGGACGACCTGGACCGAGAGAAGCTGAAGGCCAAGGTGGTGGTGAAGAAACCAGATTGCTTCCCGGAGAAACCCGAACCCCATCCGAAGTCCCACGCGCTCGGGAGCGACGCGGAAAACCACTCTGCAGTGAGGCGAGAGGAGCGGGAGAAGAAAATGTACCCGAAGACGGTGGAAAGGTCCGGTCATTTTGAGAACAAAGCAGGAGGGCAGGAGGCCCCGGCCCCGGGCGGCCTGCTGAAGGGTGTTGAATTACAAGCAAATAGAACGTTCAAACCACACGGGGAAACCACAGCCAGGGCACCTCTGCGCCCAGCACCCTTCAGGACGGCCCCTGTCCCTCCCCCGACAGGTCCGCCCCCGGGAGGGGGGACGCTGTGGAGAAGGCTCCCCAGGCCAAGGAGTGTCTCCGGTGTGAAAAGCTAGACAGCAAGCTGGCCGGCATGGACTACCTCCGCAAGAAAGTGTCCCTCGAAGACAAAGAGGACAACCTCTGTCTCATGCTCAAGCCCAAGATGCCCTCCAGTGCCCATGAGTGCCTGCCCGGGAACGCGGCCCGGCCCACAGGCGGGCAGCAGGAG